AAAAAAAAAAAAGATTTCCAAAAAGAATTTTCGATGAAATTTTGTGGACAGATGAGAAAGCAAAAAAGGAAGAAATAAATTAAACATGTAAAAATTCACAAAATGCAACAAAAAAAAAAAATAGGACGGAAACAAAATTCGTACAAAATATGGAAGAAGACAAATTAGAAAAAAGAGGTTGAGAATCAAACGTAAGAATTATCATACAGACAGAATAATTTATTAGCATACTATTTTCTAAACATTCCTCGATATCATCTTTCATTCATTCAATAATCGATTGAATTTTGAAATCAATGAGAGACCTAATAGAGATATCTATGTTTATAATTACCAAGAAAAAATTGACATATCAGTAATATCGCACAAATTTTATTTCGAATTATTATTCGTATTATAGTTAATATTCCATAATTCTAAGAAGAGATACAGAACGATGCAACAGTTTGAGGACGAGGAATAATTAAATTTCTCGTTATCATATGCGCGTTGAAATTAGGAATAAAGATCGCCATAATTAAGTATGAATCCCGCGTTTTCTCTCGATTGTTGCACCGATTAATCGGGGATACATTGGCCCTCTATTAGCGGTTCGCCAACGGAATGATAATCAATAGCCGATTCGTTATCGCTATTTCAATTCCACTTGGAATCATGCGCCCGATTTGGGGCCGATAAATCGTTCGTGAGAGAGAAAGTGTCTTAATTGTCGATCTCTATTTTGCCACGTGTTTGAATGCACGATGTATCGTGATTTGGAGAAATGATTACTCAACATGCTTCGTTAATTCGCGTGTAATATTTTTGTTCGAGCTCGAGATATGTACGTTCGATTAAATTTCGTAACATGCAAAATATAAATATTATGATGCGAGAGAAAAATGAAATGAAGAGAATAAAAAAATAATTTAAAACATTACAAATTCCATTATCGAAAAAAAAAAAAAAATGTCACGTTTTTCAATCGAATGTGAATGAAATGGAAGTATCGATGTCACCTGTGATCGACGTATTAAATTTTCTAAATAAATTCGTGATAAATAAATATGAATAACTAAAATGCGATAAAATATAGTATAACGATATGAAAAATGTTTCAACTTCAAATATTAATTCGCGTATAATTATATAATATAAATAATTCGCGAAATAAAAAAAATACAAGAAATATCAAACAATAAAATATCTCGGAGAAACGATTCTAAAATTCTGATTTGTATGCAAAATGCGAAATTATCGTCGAATGTTTAAATATTATTACTATTAATATTATAACACACTTTCTTCTCAAAATATCGATTTCGTAATGAATTTTTATGAGAATAGAGATCTGTGTCACAATTATCATGCTTACTTTCAGATTAAATATATTGGATTATAATATCCATTTAAATGAAACATTTCTCGTTTCTTATTGATTAAAAAAAAAAAAAAATGCCCAAAAGAAGAAGGAACTTGAAAAACTTAATATAGTATTCATTTGATGCACAAAAAGGACGGCAACGATAAAATCTTTCGTAAAACTAAAACTTCGTATCACCTTTTAAAACTTTAATTTGAATTTCGATCCTCTCCCCTAGTCGATTTCTAATCGATGATTGTCACAATTAATTAAACTCAATGACCAATTCTATTGGATTAACGAAATTCAGATCGAATTCAATTTAAAATCATCTTCGAATATCGAGATCGCGATACACATTTAATATAAATCAATTATAAAATATTATATAAAATATATAATATATATTATATAAAAAAAGTTTCTTTCGTTTCGTATACCCAAACATGGATATTAAGATGTAGAAATTTTTAGGCCATTCGGTACACGAAAGATCCTCTCCTCAACCGGAAGTTCACCGATAAGGTACCTCTTTAAGCTGTGAATCGCTGCAGACGAGTGTCCAGTGCCAATGAAGGCCAAGGTCGCATCTCTGCCAGCGTATTCGAGTATCACGTCAGATCCACCGGGATGGCTTTTCAAGAAATCCGTGCAATCGTATACAAAATCTTGAATCACGATCCAACAACTGTCGACGGTATCGTGCCAGGCAACTTCGTTCAAATTGATCGTCCTCAAATTCTTTATCAAATTCTCTTCATCATCGAGCGATTCTTCGTCATCGCCCTCCAATATTAGCCTCGATTTCTCTGACGACTCTTCCTTCTCGACGATACTCCGTTCCTCCAACTCGAGAAAATCTTCTTGTTGGGGCTTCGCCTCCAGATCCATCGATCGAAAAGATACGCTGAGCAGATCCATGCTTCTGGTTGTGATTTTCCTACTTCTGAAAGAAAATATCAATCGACGAAAACAAATATTATATGAATTGCGAAATTAATATTACATCATTGTAGAAATAGCTGATAAATCAACTGATGTAACATATTTGATTTTAGATAGAAAGAAGGAAAGAAAAAAGAAAAAGATTATCATTCAAATAACACATACAATTCTTGAAATATGAACAGAAAAATAATTTGAAAAATAAACAGAAAGTTAACGCGGAAAAAGATAAAGCGAGAGAAATTGTTCTCGTAAGATAATAAATTAAATCGATTTCACGTCGCCATTTGCTTCCATCGATATCGCAATTACACTCATCTTGATCAATTACCGTTAATTATACGTTCAAATAAATCGAAAAAGAGAAAAATTTGGTTTTCGAGATTAAAGAGGATCTGTGTTTCTTCGATAAAATCCAAAAGCGAACTGTTATTTCAAGAATCGTGAAAATATAATAAATTTTATCGGATTCGGAGGTTATCGAATTCTCGCTTCTTTAACAGGTTTATACGACAAAAATTTTATATGTGTATTCATACTCGCGAAACCGTGCGGGTCGTCGACGCGAAAATATGTTAGGAAATTTTTTTTAGGGTGATATCGAGATTGATTTGGAACGATCGAATTCATGAACAAAGTTCGAGACAAATTTGAGAAAATTAAACGGATTCTCGCGAACGAAAACGAGATAATAATAGATGAAAGAACGAATAAGACTGATAAAACGGTACTCGTAATCAAATTAATGTCTAAAATTAAAGCAAAATTTTATCACTCGAGATAGAAATATTCAACGTTCACTCGATGTAATTTCCATGCAGTTTTATAATACTATCATTCTTTAAATATTGCACGAACTTTTCCAAATTCGCGATTGAAAAACGCGAGATAGTTTACTAGTTATTAGTTTTGAAGAACGTGATATATTGATAATAAGAATGATTACTTTTGTTCTTCTTTCCAACTATCTTGCATTTTTCTTCACTATTTGCGCGACGAACTTTTCATCGAAGAACTTACACACGGTACTGAAGCACCGTCGAGAAATCAATTCTCCCCTAGGTGAAAGGAAATCTAATTCTATTACCGGTTGAAACCTGATGCATAAACTAACTGTTCTCTGATCACGTATTAAGATTCTTCTCAGTCTCAATTCAATAATATTATTAATCGAAATATTATAAATAATTATTTAAGATGCTATTATTAAACGTATTTTCTCACCCGTTTAATATGAATCAGCAATTTTACTAGATAAATATGTTTTATCGTAGACTTCACTTATATTAAAAAGCTGAAAGTTATATATAATTTTATTATATATTATAGGTTGATCCGAAATTGAATTCTATTTTAATATTATCATATATTTTTTCACATTAATTCGATAAAGTAAAATTTAATTATATAAATGTGAAAAAATATATATTTTAAATTTAAAATATTCTAGTTTGAAATTTAAAAATTGTTTTTTAGAAAAATAGCTTCTTAATATAATGATATTCTAATAAGGTAAAAAACACAATGACAAATAAAATAAAATATATGTAAGATAATATTTTTTTCTTTCTCAAATGATATGATATATTATTTTTTTAACGAATCTATCCATACTGAGGGATAAAATTATTTTTTAACTAACAGAAAATATTAAAATAAGTAGAAAAAGATAAAAATTTACACAATTGTTAAATTATGTACCGTAAAAAGACTAAACTAAATAAAATAATCAAAATTATTATTAAATTAAATTTAATGAATAAAAATTTTTTTATATTCAATTTTAATATTTCGATTGAAGATAAAATTTAGATGAAATACTAATTTCTTGTACGATTGGTTATGCAGAGCACAAGAAATTAAATTTTATCGGATGATAATAGAGATAAAGTAGAAAATAGATTTATCACTTATGGAATTTGATATCCTATTACAAACAAAAAATAGAATAGACGTGACATCTTATGGGACTTTACATCAGTGATCTGAAATACCGACCTCAAAAAAGCTATCTGTCATTTAACGCCATCTAACCAGTTATAATATAAATATGTATACAAAATTAAATCGTTAAAAATTTCAAAGTAAGGTTATATTTCATAAAATAATAATAATAATTTAATGATAACAAAAATTAAAATGTCAAAAAAATGAAATTTAATATTTCTTCTTACCTTTTTGCATGATGGATAATTTAATCTTATTTTCTTGAAAGAAGCACTGATTCTATACCGAAAACGAACTTTTAAAATAAAAAAATAAAAATAAAAAACTATTTTACGTTTCCATTCGTATTGTATCGACGAACAAACACTGATTCTAATTTCGCGTATGATTATTTTAAATTACTTAAAACTTATTCTGTTCTAAAAATGCGAAATATTACGAAAAAACACTGACTCTATCGACCACATTGCACGTGATCATAAAAATTTTCTGAAAGAAAAATTGCGTTAATAATAAGATAATTAAAAAAAAAAAAATACTTTTACGTTTCTAAATATATGAATTGAAAATTCGATGACGAAAGAATGAATTTAATTTATTTATATTAAATAATCTATAATATATATTTTATTCGAAAGTCGAATATATTTGTTACTTAACGAATATATTATTAAAATCTAATAAAAAAAAAAAAATAAAAACATACTAGCACTTGATACGAAAAATTAAATGTTACCACTTTTTCACGATCACGTCGAAATGGTTGTTAGCGTCCATATTGAAATTTTTTCTCGGTTTGTAGATTATTCCAATAACCAATCGATAATCTGCACAAAAAATAATCGAATCTTTAAAATAAATATATAAAATATATGAAATTAGAATCAATTATATTAAAACAAAACTATAACCATACTCAAATTCCATGCAATTTAATTATACTATGCAAAATTTAATAATATTTTTTACCAATACGATATTAATAGAAAATTAGGTTAATAAAAGAAAAAAGAATAAATTATTTCTCAAAAAATAATTAAATATAATAATATTCAATAGATTATCGAATAAATATAATTAATTAAACAAAAATATACAAGAAATAAAAATATAATTACAGAAATAATATATTACGCAGTAAATTAATCGCGCACCTGCGAAGCGAAACGTCTAAACGCCACGACTTTCAATAGCAAAATAACGCGTCGACGATTTGTACGGAAGCAAGAAATCAAAACATACCGAGCATATATATAATATATTCAAACAAATTATCAATTTCTCAGAAAGGGAATTATAAGAAACCTTGAGCGTAAAATCAAAACAAAAACATTACGAATTGAACGCTCGAAGACACGTTTACAATCTATACGTTTATAAAATATGTATGAAATAAAATTAATCAAAATGATTTAATCTATTTTTATTTTTAATAATAAATAAAATTTTTTAATAAATAAAAAAACAATTTATAATAATTATTACATATTTTTTGTTAAAATAAGTCAAATTTTAGTATATTTGCATGAAAATAATGAGTGCATAACCTATTACGTTTGAAATAATTAAATAATAATCTGTACAAATAAAAATCAGAACCATGAAACAAATATATAAAATTAGAATTATATTAAAATAATTAAATTTAAATCCGGCTTCAAATGCTTGTAACACAACTATATATATAACACATTTACAACAAACTATTGACGAACGATTAACTGAAAAATATGCGAACAATAAAGAAAAAACTCAAAAAACAATTGAATTTTGATATAGTTATACCTGATAAATGATTAAACGCATACAAATAAATTAAACAAAAGCACTAGTAGTTTATAAATTATATTACAATATCAAATTTCACAATTATATATCTGAGTCAGTGTAATACATCCTCCCATCGTGATTCTTGATAGTAAACTGACGCCATATATGATTCGTCTAATTACTGGGCCTTAGCAGCTTTCTGATTGGTTGAAGCGGCATAGTTCTTATTCACTTCAGCCGCGCGAAAATTCATGTATAATAGAATATATTTTAAACGTAGATTTCTGTATATTAAAGTTTATAAAATCTTACAAAGACAGTAATTAAAAATAAAATAAGACTACATTATTATAATTAATATAATATAAAAATTAAAAAGATTGAAAGATAAAATTGAATATTTAAAATAAAATTGGATATAAAAGAAAAATATATCTAAATTAAAAAATACTAGAACATGACGAAAGAATTTAAGCATTTGGTTTAACTAATAATTTTTTAATAATTAATTTTATTTATATCTGTATTAAAATATTCTAACTTTTATTTTATGCGAAGAATAATCACAAAATAGTCCTAAGTGGATTTATTTGTTAACATTTTTTTAATTTGATTAAATATAAAATAGAAATCTATTAATTAATTATTAAATTTTTTTGAATAAAATTTATTTTTTAAAAAATGTTTTAAATTTAATTCAAATTTTATCTATACTTACTTTAATCTTTATTTATTTTATATATATATTTAAATAATTAATTAATCACTTGTATTAAAAGGAATGCAACTTATCGTTTGAAGATACATTGGCAGCAATTTTTTATCTAACAATATTAATCATGAAATTATATATTAAGTTTCGTAAAATACATAAAATTGTTGCATTCGCGTATAAAAATACACATATATATCTTAAACATGAAATTCATGCGCAATTTTAAATTAGAACAGAAAATTGAATATCCTTTCTGAAGAATAGCGTCAAACCGGAACTGATCTGATCTTTCCTCATCCGGTAACCATAGCTCGATGGGCAAAGTCGATAACAACGATTATCTGTAAAATTCAACGAATATTTTAAGAAATGATTTAAATGTTATAATTTTCAATATTCTACTAATATTTTCATTAATTTTCTAATTACGTATTTACTATAATATATTTACTATTTATTATAATTTATCATTTTTTAATTCAGGTTTATTAATTTTACAAGTAATTATTTTTTTAAATTTATTACAATTTATCGTTCCATTTAATACTTTTGTATTTGATAAAGAATATTATAGTTTATCAAATTTATATATTTTTATCTTACCTCAATAAAGAGATATAAGAGAAGAAATGTAATTCTATCTTTTATTTGAACGTATAGTTGCATAAACTCACGGGTGACCCGTTTCTGTTGTCGAAAGTAGAATCTATTGAATTTTGCGAAGCGTATTAGAGAAGTAGTTGCCTTCGATTTTCCGGTAAATGCTGCCACACCTCGATTTTCCATCCAGTGCGCACATATTCCACCCTACATTCAAAATATGTACTACATGGATCGTCCGACATGCATGTAAATGTGTTCCATCATCCCTCCTTATTCCATATTCCTGTTTGTGTATACTTCCGAGTGCAGGACTTTTATCGAATGGCGGATTTCTCGAATTTCTCGGAAATTTCGCTCCATCTCTACAACATTTAAAAATTCTTTAATTTAAAAATGCCTGGCAACAACTTATCATACGTAATCTCCAAATCTCCGAACATTGCAAAACCGATCGAACTATTGAAATATCCTCGCAATTTGGAGAACGATATTTAAACTTGTATAAAATAATACTCGCAATATTCTCGAATTAACGAGAACAATCGAGAAGAATTTAAATCAGAAATTTAGATGAGAAAATTGCGAGAAAATATTCTAAAATTCTTTTCCAAATTTATCTTGAAATTCCAATTTTGGCATTCTAATAAACTTAACAATTTACTTTCTCCAAATTATTCCAACATTTCGAGCGGAAGAGCGCAAGAGATAATCTTCCTTGCGTATATACAATCGAACAAATTCCTTGTTTCTCACAAACGAGAGAATCTAACGTTTTCCAACAAAATTGAAAAAAAAAAAAAGAAGAAAAGAAAAAGAAAAAGGAAACAACGCATCAACTTAACGACCAATTACATGGATCACTCGAGGAAATCCCGCTCGTAGCGAGGCGGCGCGAGAGGCGAATCGCGGCCATCGGTATCGAGCAGCGCATGTGTCCTGAAGCGAGAGCGTCCGACTCGAGGCGCCACGACGCCGGCGTCGCACGGCGTCGAGGGCAGCGCCGACGGCTCACCGCGACGAGGTGGATAGTCGCAATCATGCCACCACCCTGACGCGCGTCCCCGTATCCACGGTGCGTGTACGTCGACGGCGCAAAGGTGGTAATCGAATACACACATATACATATAAATATACACATCTCCTCGACGAGAAAAAACGAGAAACAACGTCGAGTAACGATCTCTCGACTNNNTGCAACGCGACACGCGAGTAACCGGAACTGGAGACCTCCTCGAGGAGGAGGAGGAGGAGGAGGAGAAGGAGGAGGAGGAAGAGGAGAAGGAGCGCAACGAGCGGAACCGTGAACACGACTACGAAGGGCGCAACGAGCGCGAGCACGGTGTGTAGAACGATCGAAAACAGGGGGACAGGGGCGGCGAGTGGACACCGGTGCGCGGAGAGGAAGGAAGGAAAGCAACGATCGACGCGACCACGGTGGCCCTTCGATGCGAGACGCCTCGAGGAACGGCACGGTACATACACGCATAAATACGCCCCGTATCCTCCTCGAACGGTTTCGAGGATTCGCCACGAATTCGTGGCATCGGATGTCGATCCGGTCGAGTGCGTGTGCCGCAGGGGGTTGCATGCGGTGTGGCGCAGCTGCGAAGCTGCGCTTGACAAGTGTCGTCGTGTGCGGGACACGTGTGCGGAAAAACTGCTCAACGTGTTTTTCCACAATGCGTAGTGCGCGACACGTAGAGAGTAAGGGGGAGAGAGATAGATAGATGGATAGATAGACAGATAGATAGAGAGAGAGAGAGAGAGAGAGAGAAAGGAGTTTTCCT